AGCAGGAATTGCCAGAGCTGGACCTGTCCGCCTCCGACCGCCCCCGAGCTGCCAGCTCCAGCCGTCGATCCAATCAGCGAGCAAGTCCGTTGTAGGAGGCTGAACCTCTCTATGAACAGAAAAACGAAACACGCATGCACCAAGCTCTAAGTTCTCGAGTCTCGAGGTCGAATCGTTTAGACCGCAAGAGAGAAAGAGAGAAATAGAGAGAAGAACGATGGTTGTCAGCTTTCTCCAGCATATTTGCTTTCTTATTCTGATGTATAGATTTTTTATTTTTTTTTTTCATCTTTTTTTTTAATTATGTATAGATACTTATTATTATATAGTTATTATTTAAAAAAAAACCAGTAACGAAATTACGGTAATTGTTGATGCGCTTGTCAATTCGAACTCGATTGCGAAAACGGATAAAAGAACGGCAGCACAATTATCTTAATATTCTATTTCTTATATCCGTCAGAATAAATATTATCGTCGTGTATATATATATGTATAATGTACTTATTTAAAATGTATCTGGGAGAGTTATATATATATACGTATACATGTTTTGTATCTACGTATATATAAATATAAGTACATGTACAAGTGATGAGAGGAGCGCTTTAAGTATCTTGTCAACGTTTTAATTTCATTCGCGCGCTTAATCTTCAGTTTTTCTGATTTTACCGTTGTAAAGAATTGCAGCGGCCGAAGGATGCCATCTGCGAAACGAGCGGATATAGATCAAGGAAAATAAATCGACACCCATTTCACTGATTTCGATGACGCGTTACGCGATGATCGCGCGAGTATAAGCGAGGTCGATTGTTGGCGGATTGAATCGATGAGAGGACAGACGCATTTGGAATAAAACTCGCCAGACAGTGGACAGAGAGCGACTGAGCGACCTTTGCCCCTGGTTATTTCAAGCCCTTCGCACCCCTCCCTTCTACTCGTGGTCTCGGCAAGTGAACGGAATACCTTTACACCCCCTCTCTTCTGACGTACCGAGCTTAGAGTACTTACCGGTAATTTCCATTTCTTTCGTTCTTTCTCCTGGAATTTACGCAAATATCTTCTCGATATCTCATGCATGTGCGCAAATGAAAATAGTTGTATATAAATTCGTTTGAAATTTCCTCTCTCGCGAATAAAGGTTTAAGCGCTTCCTTGGAGAGTAATTGTTTCTTCCTAAATCTCATTTCTGTAAATTTGTACATATATTTTACATTATTCTATTTGATGTTTTTATCATAAATATAAAAAAATATTAATTGCAGAATCCTCATCTCTCTTTTTCTCCTTAATACCGAAATATTAGAGTAAATAATAGAATAAAAAATAATAAATTTAGATAGAAAAGCTTGTTATATTAAAAAAACAAGTACAAAAATAATGGGCTGATACGAACATAAAACGGTTGTTAACAAATATTTCTTTCTTAAGAGAGAATAACAATTATCTACATCCTTTTTAAAAAATTTTATTTGTTAACAATCTTTTCATGCTTGTATCAGCCTATTATTTTTGTAAAAAAATAATTTAAATAATTATAATATATATATAACTTTTTTAAAAGGAAGCAAGTAGAATTCGATTAAAATAAATCAATTTAATATATATTTATGTTTTAAATTGCGTTGCAATCTTGATAAACCGAGATGAATTGCTAAAATAATTGATAGAAATAGAACAAGATAATAAGGAAATGCAGTAAGAAAATCAATTTTGTTACTCTATGTATGTGCACAGCTAAATGAATAATATTGTCAATATCTGTTTCGATAAAAAATTATGATGCTAAATAAAAAGAATGTCATAAAGTGAAAGAGTGTCTGCTTTT